GGCACTACGGGACAATTTAGCACGGCCAATCCACCCTAACCTGCACACCTTGGACCGTGGGAGGAAACCGGAGCACCCAGAGGAAACCCCTGCAGACGTGGGGAGAACGTGCAAACTCCACACACAGTCACCCGAGGGTGGGCTCGAACCCGGGTCCCTGACGCCGTGAGGCAGCGGCATTAATCACTGAGCCACCGTGCCACCCCCCAATCGGTCGTTTCGGGTACTAGTCTAGTAATCGCTCTCTGAATTGCTTTTAACACGTTTCCACCTCTCCTCAAATAAGGGGCCTAACGTTGCACACGGCATTCCCGATGCAGTCTCACTAGTGCCGTGTATAACTGAAACAGGTGCTTCTATTTTCAATCCTCTTTGGGATGAGTGATTACACCCTACAACCTTTCCCGATGACCTGCTGTACATGCGTGACAGGCCGGTTGTGACTCACGTACCAGGACTGCCCAGATCCCACTGCACTGCAGGCCTCTCACTGTTTAGATAAATTCCTTCTGCCGAAGGGAGAATTTTGCATTTCCCTACAGTGGAGTGCATTTCCAGATCTCCGCTCATTCACTGAACCTGCAGCTTCAGGAAGAGCCTGCCCCTGCTTCACACGTCTGAAGGCCAGGCCACAGCAGCACTAGGCCGAGCCTGTCACTGCACTCGTGCCTCACTGAGGCCGGCGCTCCCTTACTACGTCCGCCACCACCAAAAAACGCACGATCAAGAGCCGCAATCGGCAACAGAACGGCCCACAGTGCGACAGGCACACAGAGCTGACAGGACCCCCTGACGCACCACCTACCAGTAAGCACTTTGGCCGTGTCTGAGGGGCAAAGGTCGAGAGCCAGGATGCCAGGGACACTGGCACTGTGCAGACCCTGGAAACGACAATGAGAGCGATAGCATGGTGAGAGGCAGTACTGTTTGAGAAAGTGAGATGCAACACAACCTCAGTCACACACGCACCACGTGTACCTGGTGGGCGGGGAAGGGGGGGGAGCGGGCGCTGAATGTCCACCCATGCACACCCTGGCCTATTGCTCAGTATGACTGAAGTGGACCTTCCACCTCATCGCCACTGATTCCCACTACTCCCTGTATCCCCTGAGTGCCTCAAACCTCATAACCACAGTCAGAATACACTCGTTCACACAGCATCCACAGCACCCCCTCCCTATCTCTGTAACCCCC